GAAAGCAGATGCAGCAAGGTGGATGCACTGAGAAGTAGCTAAGAGGAAGAGGCACAGGGAAGACCTACTGAGCACCTCAACTTGCAGAGTCCCCTCCGGGCAGTTTCTTTTCCCTTGGCACTGGAGAGAAGCAGGGCAAGGGCTTCTTCGTGTTGCCCAGGCATCGGTGCCGGATAGCGAAGACTCGAAGGAGGCCAGGAGGATCCCGCCTCTTTCCTAACAAGTGAGTACACAGCTTTTGAGAAGTAAAACAAAAAATAGAAATGGTATCGAAACAAGGGGAGGGTTCCCTGCCTCCCCCCAATGTGGCTCAAAGGGAGTTTTTCAGGAGGGTGTGTGTGTGTGTGGAGTTCCTCCTAGAGCGGCCAAATTCAGTAGGCAAGGCTCCTGCCTGCTTTTAATTGCTGTACCGAAGGGAGAATTTCAGCAGATGCTGCTTCACTCTCTTCTATTCTTCAGAGGCAGGGAAGTAAGAGATCGGAAAGGGCTGCGTCTTTATTCCAGCTCAGAGACAGTTCTGTTCAGTGTGAGGCATATGGGCTGGAACGGGAGGCGGGGTGGAAATGACACCTTCCACAATGGGACAGGTGAACAGTCAGAGTCTGAGCATCTTCTCTTTGGGCAAGCGATGAACAGCCGTGGATATGTTATGGCTTTACTTTAACGATGTATTTGAATGTTGGGTGTTTTGTAGCTATATTGTAGCTTCTATCTTATAAGCTCTGCCATATGATTTATAAATATACAGTTTCTTCATTGTGATACTTGGCTTACAAGGGTTATTATGTACGCAACCCTTTGCAATAAGGAAATGACTATTCTTTTAAAGAAAGAATGATATTGTGGAGAGAACGAGTGCAGTCTGGAAGCAAGCGGGGGTGGGGGGCTCAAGAGAATTCTGGGAAGGAGGGGCAAAGGCACAAACCTTGCTCACACAGCAATCTTTCTGGTATACATGCGGAAAGGCTTAAAGGCTAAAGAGGCAAATCACAGCTGAAACAAAACAGCATTCTTCCTTCTGTAGCAATGATCTATCTTTTTCCCCTACCCACTCTCAGTTTTGTAGAGCTTGCTAATGTTTTATATTTTAATTATTAGTGTAGCTGATGCAGTAGAAATTAAAATCCATGTTCAATGTTAATCTTCAGCATGCTATAAAACCATGTGAGTTCCACCCAACCCCAGCTCTGAGTGATTCCCACCCCCTCCCAAATTCCGAAAATGGCATCTTAACATTGCAGAGTCTTTCTGATTCTGAATCCACTACTAAACCATATGTGATTTTATTGGCTGCTGGGATGGATCAAACTTCATATCTCCAAGCTGTGTGTGTTCTGTTCAAGAAAGCTGCCATACTCAACCCAGCTAGGGACAGGGCACCCATTTGTGTGCAACCCCACATTTGCAACAAATGGGGTGGTTGGACTCATTTTGTCACAAGCAGCACCTGGAATATTGCACGCCACCATAAGCCACTTACATGTGGGTTGATTGGTAGCGTTCAAATAATTCGCTTCTGCTTGCAGCAGATAAAATCATTCATTCAACCAGAGCAGGGAAAAGCAATATAAAAGCAGCTGCTACAGGCAAGGCAGTTGTGTGCATCAGATCATACTGCAGCCTTTGCCAAACTTGTTCCTTCCAGGTGTTTTGGACTAGAATTCCCATCAGCCCCTGCTGGCACGGGGTGCAGCTTTAGTCCAAAAACTAGTCTAGAGTAAATGATTTACTACCACAGCCTAATGATGCTAAGATTGGAGATAGATTATAACTTTTTGTTTACTATTTATTAATTTTATATCCTGCCCAGGGCAGCAAACAATAGGTGGGGGGAAGAGTAAAAATATATTTAAAACAATTCCAATACAGAGGCAGACTGGGAAAGATTTCAGCTTAAAAAGCTTGCTGAAAAAGGAAGGTCTATAGGCATCAAAAAGACAACAAAATTGGTGCAAATCTAGTATTCTATTGCAAATATTAATATTGTGCAGCTTGAAGCAATAAGATGAAGAAAAATGCTTGGAATAAAAATTGTCCAGTCCCAAAATATGGTTTTAAAGCTTTACTAACAGAACTTTGTTCAAACAGTCACAAAAACAAATAATGATACATCCAAATAGTTACATAAAAGCACATGTTCAGCTTCTTACAAATATGAAATACTATTTATAATCAGAGCTGACGCACAGAGCTCTGTCTCTCCCACATCCATTAACCTGGAGGCTGTTTTCTCTCCAGGGAAGACATTAGAACACCTTTGTCTTCACCTTTGGCTTGAGAACACATGCTCCCTCAAAATGGTGATTTGTAACTGAATAAACCTCCCATGTGATCTACAGTTAAACACCACGTGAGAGAGCAGCAGAGATGCATTCCTAAGTTAATGATCAACCTATTGCTCAGAAAGCTCTTCAGTGGAATTTTCCCAATGTTCCCTTTAGCAATACATATTCAGAGTCATTTTCCATTTCAATGTACAATTAAACAATTCTACATAACATATTCAAAAGGAAGGAATTCCAAAGGGTGGGTGCTACCATGCTAAAGTCCCAATTCCTACTTTGTGTGGGATAGTTCTCCTGATAAGATGGTATCTGCAGGAGGCTTCCTGTTTCCGGTGTGCCAGGAACGGAGTCTCCCAACACTGTGGGAGTGAGACACACCAAGATAATCAGATAATGATAGGGGAATTTCATTATCTGCATTCCTCTTTGGTTGGAAGAGAAACCGGGCTCTCATCGCAGTTTGCCTGGCAGTCTGGCACTCGCTTCCCCATGGAATGTGAGGGCAGGCAAAGGCACTAGGTGCACGGAGCACTCCGGCTGCCATGACCCCCGCTTCACCAATCCCATTCCTAGAAGCACAGGTTACCCTGCAGGAATTCAGCAGTTTCAGATTTCCTGGATGAAGATACAGTCTGCTGGTGGGGAAAGTTGCATCTGTTCAACTTGCCACTGTTAAAAGTGCAGAGGGAGGAAATACAACCTTAAAAGAGATACTCAACAACTTCAAAATGCAATCCAGACCTGCCCTCCCTTTTCACCACCATTCTCTTTAAATATTCTGTTCTCTCCTTCCAGCTTTTTCCAGGCTGGTTGCAGCAGCTGAGTCCTGTCAAACAAAGGTGGGCATTTTAATTCACCAAAACAAGAGGCTTAAGAGCTTTGGGGACGTAATGAACTAAAGAGGGTCAAGTGGTGCTTGGCAGAGGCTTTCTCCACGATGGATTGGCGGTCAGGGTTCAGACTTGTGCCTGCTGAAGGAGAAAGGGGTCTTGAACCCAGACACCCAGAGTGACCTAGAGTTAATCCAGTCTCATGCCAATGTAATCTGAGCCATTTACATCACAGAGGAGCTTTACAGATCCTGATGTCACTGTTAAATTAACTTGTTTCATGCTGGTACCCAACAGAGTCTGATAAGAGCAAGTTGCCTGCCCTAACCCATTCCTGAACATTCCATTTATTGCAATTTTGAATGCACAGAATTTGACCAATCCAGGCGATTGGGCAATAAGGAACTGGGAACCAACTCTAGTATCTTACCCTCACTGGAGTTGCATTGGTGTTTGTGTGTGAGAGGGGACATTGGTTGTCTTTGATGCATCATGATCTAATGTAATCTTTCCTGCTTATTGGAGCTGTGGCTGGCATATGGATTCAGTTCTCAAGACACCATACAGAAGTGCTTAGGCTGAATAATAGTAGACTCTTCACTTGAGCACGGTACATTAAGGCTTGAATGCATTGTGTCTAAAATATGCTCAGATTGACAGTCCAGTGCATGCTTTCTGAAATGGCTATTTGTACAAAATTTGGTTGATAAAGAGATTCTTAGGAGTAAATCGCATACCCGATATATAAATTATCATATGAATGACAGAAGTCTTTTGATACCTCTTATTATGATCCACAAAAAAAGTACAAGACCCCTATAATTCTCACAGTTCAGGCTGTATTAAGTTAATGGCATCAACTGATAATGGCCTCCCATTCTTGAAATTCTGAAAACTTTGGGCAATTAGCTTTGGGAATTTTAGTCCTTAATGTGAGTGGTCTATTTGCCATGTACCAGGGTTTGGGAGAACCATTTTATTTTTATTTTTTTTAAATGATATTTATTACTTTTTCAACATTTCCAACACAACACTGCAAACAAAACAAAAAAAAAAGAAGAAGAAAGAAAAAAGAGAAAAAACAATACAAATACAATACAAAAACGCTACATGGACTAACAAAACAAACAAAAACAATTTAAAAACACCTCAAACATTTTCAGTATCTTATATTTCATTCACTTATTTCCAGCGACCTCCTCACACCTCCCTTTTTGTATTCCACTTCTATTATTTGTTTCAGCAATTCCTTTCCATCTTACTCTGTTTTCTGTTCTATAATTATCTTAACACAGGGGAGAACCATTTTAAGGCCGTCTTTAACCATCATCAAAAGGTTCCTATAAAATGGTTCCTATAACTTGCAGCTATATCTGCCTCCTGGTATTCCTGAATGGGCAATCAACAGGTCCAGATGATATATGAAACAACATCAACCTCTTGGTTGGCTACTCTTTTTTCACTTATTGATAAATCTGGATTATTTCCCCTCTTATTAATAAAATGAGACTGAAAGCAATCTTGTGTGTGTGGTACAATTTTATGATGGTATGATGGTGTCTTTATGAGTACGTGTTTCTGTGTGCGTGCATGCACATGAGAGAAAAATGGAATTATGTGTATGCTTGCTGTGTGTGTGTGCTGGTGAAGAAGGTAGAGCTGGAGGAGTGAATATCCTGAGCAGGGATAAATTGGGATACAAGAGACAATGGAAGACAAGGTCCTGGAGAGCTTTGAAGGGACAAGAAGCGTGTGCAGGATCTGGGAGCGGACAGGAAACTAGTGCAGGGATCTGAGGCAGGGCTTGTCCCATGATTTCCTACTTTTACCTCTGTTCATTTCATCTCTTCCTCTTTCGCCAGGCCCCTTTCTCTCAGATGGGGAGATGCCAGACAGCTGGAACACATCTTCAGACAGCGTAGAAGCACGAACTGCAGGCATTATTGTGCCGGTGGTCTTCTCCCTCATCTTCTTTGTGGGCACAGTAGGGAACGGCTTGGTGCTGGCTGTGCTGCTGCGCAATGGACAGGTGAAATACAACACCACCAACCTGTTCATCCTTAACCTGGCGGTGGCGGACCTGTGCTTCATTGTCTTCTGCGTCCCCTTCCAGGCCACCATCTACACACTGGATGGGTGGCTCTTTGGTGCCTTTGCCTGCAAGGCAGTGCACTTTCTCATCTACCTCACCATGTATGCCAGCAGTTTCACCCTGGCAGCTGTCTCTGTGGACAGGTAAATACAAGCACTCCTTCTCTCTGGCATGTCTCCCTCTCTGTCCTCCAAACCAATATATTGCTTGATCAGTAGAAGGATCCTACTTCTTCCATAGGAAGGAGTAGAGGACAAAGGACCTTGCTCCTTTGAATACCTTTCAGGGATGGGAGAGAAATGTGATCCACTTTGCATTTAAAGGTGAACCTACCAAATTTGCACTTGGGAACAGAAACACAGCTCTGTTTCCAAAGTCACGCTTTTCTGAATTTTGCAGTCAGTTTTCCAGCGTACAAAGATGCATATACTAAAGTAAAGTGTGTATTAAAATGCACGCATCACCAAAAATAGCATTGTATTAGGGAAGATTGGTTATAAGAAAAGATTGCATGGAAAAATATTTATAGCAGGAGAAATTTTCACTAAAATGCTGATGAATTTCCATGATGATTTAAAATAAATGAATGAATCTTAAATTGCTGCAAACTGTGGAGAGCTGAATTTGATACCAGAAAAATGAAAGATCCTTCCAAACCTGCTCCACATACATTTTCTCAATACCCTTTCTCAAGTTTTCTCCATTCCTTTGTCCTTAACAACCTAATCCCACTTAGTACCTCTTGCTGTTTCTGCATAGGGGGCACCTTAATAAATTTGTGCCTGAACATGCAATCTCCCAGTTCACTTGGATTCTTGGCATTCCTCAGGCATATGTGTTTCTGCACTCAGTTTTCTGTATTGAAGGAGGAAGGAAACACATTGAAGGAGGAAGGAAACGCATTGTACACATATGAAAAGCTTTGTGAATTATGGAAGCTCTTCCTAGATCTGCATAAGCTGTTGTGGGCCCCAATTTGGAGTTTTCGTTGGCAGTTTAAGCTTAAGGAGTTTTGGGAAGAGCCTAGAAAATAACTCTGTTGGCTTGTCACCAAGGTCACATCCTCACCAGGCATGTAAAGCACATAACCTCCCTCAAAGAATCATGGGAACCGTAGTTTACCCCCTCACAGAGCTACCATTCCCAACACACTCAATAAACAACACTTCCCAGGATTCTTTGGGGGAAGTCATGTGCTTTTTCAACATATGGTATGGCTGTGACCTGAGATAATATGTGGAAATGAGAATAAGGAGGTGAGGCACTGAAGCAACCATAGGAAAGGGAAGGTGATGTTTTTTGGGCTTCTCAAAATTTATTGTGTTCAAGAAACTAACCCCTTTACCTCACACCCACTCTGCTTCCAGGTATCTGGCTATCCGTTACCCCCTGAAATCCCGGGATCTCCGGACCTCTCGCAATGCAGCTCTTGCCATTGTAATGATCTGGACGCTGTCACTGCTTTTTGCAGGACCGTATCTCAGCTACTACCAAATAGTCCACTACCAGGAGGTGCCCATCTGTGTCCCTATTTGGGAGGACCAGCGCCGCAAGATCTTGGACATCCTCACCTTCGTATTTGGCTACGTCCTCCCAGTCTTTGTCGTCAGCCTGGCTTACGCTAGGACCATTAAGTTTTTGTGGACCGCTGTAGATCCCATTGAGAGGATCTCGGAGTCCCGTAAAGCCAAGCGCAGGGTCACCAAGATGATCATAGCAGTGGCCGTCCTCTTCTGCCTGTGCTGGCTGCCCCACCACCTAGTGATCTTGTGCTTCTGGTTTGGCTATTTCCCCTTTAACCGGGCCACCTACGCCTGCCGCTTGGCTTCCCATTGCCTGTCCTATGCCAATTCTTGCCTCAACCCAATTGTCTACGCTCTCATCTCCAAGCACTTCCGCAAGAGATTCAAACAGGTCTTCACCTGCCTCATCATCCAGGACAAGAACAAGAAGAGGCGAGCAGGCAACAAGGTCCACGTAGCCAATGTCAACAATGGTTTGGCCAACCATACGGCAGGCTTCTGTGGAGGGAACACAGAGGTAACCCAACTCCATGAGGAAAATATCCGATGCTACCAGGGCCTGTTGCTGAAAGAAACTGAAGGGGGGGTGCCTGAGGCATGGTCTCATCAGTTAGAAGACACAGCCATCTCGGATCAGAGAGAGCTAATGAATGAAGAAGGTTCTGGGGCAACTGACAACAATCAACTGGCTGTGACAACACATGAGGGACTGTAACCTACTAATTATCCATGGCAGATTATTTAAATGGAGGGCGGTGCCTCTTAGCATCACAGTCCTATCCCCATCAGCATCAGATGTGGAATGGGTTGGCTTTAGATAACTTTTCTCAAAACACACAAACTACCCAGAATTTCTCAATGAGAATGTCAACGTTTCCCAGCTGAGACTGCACTTTAATGGTTCCATTTACACCCTGTCCTTGGGTAATGGCTACAAAAACTATTAATGAAGCCACCAAATGGTTGTAGAAATAAGGGGTGCATAGAGATGTACCCAGCAGTGAAGGGATGGTTAGTTGGGTCAGAGAATTTATTAATGTCTCTTGACAAGAGTGGGTGGTCCCAGACTAGCTAATGGCGATGGCGGTAAAACATGAAAAAGCCATCCCTAGATCTGGAAGATCTAGCTGAATAATTACAAACTGGTGGCAATCAACCCCTTTCTTGGCAAAGATCTTCAGCGGGTAGTTGCTGACCAGATCCAGGCATGCTTGGATGAGACTGCTTTTCTGGATCCAATTCAGTCAGGTTTCAGGCACTGAAACAACATTGGGCATCCTGTATGATTACCCTTTATCAGGAGAGAGATGGTAGAAGGGTGATGCTGTTCTTCCCCTTGAACTCTGGTTTGCTTTTGATTCCATTGAGCATGGTATCCTTCTGGACCTTCTGTCAGAATGGAAAGTGGGTGTCACTGTTTTGCGGCAGTTCCTCTCCTGTTTGGGTGGTCCACTCCAAAAAGTGATGCTTAGAATCATTGTTCAGTCCTGTGGAGGCTTCATTGTGGGCTTTCACAGGGATCATCATATCCCCCCATGGATTTACTGAATCAGTGCCTGACTGCAGTAAACAACTGGATGAGGGGAAACAACTGAAACTCAATCCAGTTAGAACAAAACAAAAAAAATTTCCATCCAGTAGCACCTTAGAGACCAACTAAGTTTGTTATTGGTATGAGCTTATCTGAAGAAGTGTGCGTGCACACGAAAGCTCATACCAATAACAAACTTAGTTGGTCTCTAAGGTGCTACTGGAAGGGAATTTTTTTTTAATTTTGTTTCGACTATGGCAGACCAACACGGCTACCTACCTGTAACTCAATCCAGCTAAGTCAGAGATATGGCTACTAGGTGGTTCCTTGGTCCAGGTAGATGATGTGCAACTGTATCTCACTGTATAATCAGATGCACAGATTGGGGAAGCTCCTTGTTCCATTGCTGTGACCAGAGATGCAAATGGCATAGAATGCCTTCTTTCAGCTCTACCTGTCAGCCCAGCTATGACCTATGGCTGGATTACTGCAATGCATTGTATGTGGAGCTGCCTTTGACAATGGCTTGGGGAAACTGCAGCTGGGGCAAAATTCAGCAGCCAGTTTGTTAGTGGAGACCAGGTGCTTCGAGCATGTAATACCAGTTCTGGCTTGATTACAGAGGCTACCAATGTGTTTCTTGGTCCAATTCAAAGTGCTGATTCTGACTTGTAAAGCCTTATACAGATTGGGTTCCCAATTTTCTACAAGACCCCTCTTCCCATAGGAGCCTGACTGGAGCCTGAGGTCATCAGAGGCCTTATTTTGTGTTCCCCTTCTGGCAGATGTCCAGAAAGTGGTAAGAACAGGTCTTCTCAGTACTGGCTCCCACATCTGTGAGGTGCTTTCCCCAGAGTGGCTTGCCTGGCATCAACACCAATGTATTTTCATTGCCAGATGAAGGTGTCTTTCTTCTTCTGGGCAGTATTAATTTCTGCAGCAGTTGATGGTATTTTAGCTAGTTAATTCTTTGGTGGGGAGCATGGAGTGGGGGGGATTTGTTATTTTGGGGTGGTTGTTGTTGTTGAGGAACATCAACACTTTTTGATGTTGCTACAAGTATTATAACTGGTTTTAAACATTTTTGTACCGTGTGCTGCTATTTTTGTAAGTTGCTTTTGAGATGTTCTGTGGAAAGTGACTGATAAATTCAATAAATAATGATAATAAAAGCAAAAATACCTGGAAAGAGAAGTGGTTGTTGAGGTTTTTGTTTGTTTGATCAGCCCCTTCCTGCACTGATACATGTACATCCTGTGGATTGCTGCTTCCTCTTTGCCCCACCACCTCTGTCTTCAGACATGTCCGCTTTGTTTCCTCCCCTCCCCACAAGAGACCACATGTCTATTGAACCAAAAATTTGTTCAGTGCTTTTATTTTATATTTTTAAAGACTCTCTGCAATGTTTTTAAACGCCAGGTTTGTGCTGTTCTGAGAAGCGAGGAAGTTGGCTTTCAGATTGACATGGGGGACGGCTGATAGCACAAATCTTGCTCCTGCTGAAAGCCAGAACACAGACCCACAAAAAAATGTCATTGCGTGTGTCCACCAATCCCTTACAGGAATATGCCTACTATGGGCTCCATATGCCCTTTTTCTTGTGCATTCATGATTATTTGTGCTCATGACAGAATCAATTTGGTTATATGCGATCCCGCTGTCTGACTGTTTACGCTTGCAAAAGTTTTGAGGCGGGCATACTGCTTCATTTCCAAATGATTTGTGTCCCATAGTTTCCTGCTGAAATCCTGTAACTTTTCATACTGCAACCATTCTGGGTTTGTGTGCCCTGCTTTTGCAGCACTATAGTGTAAGAATGTCAGGTTGGCAAGAATGCAATAACATGGGGAAAGCATCACCGAAGAACTATGAAAGCAGAATGATGGATGGATGGTCCAGTATAAACCCACCACTAATGTGCTTATTATCTTATGCATTGCAGCCTGCGAGAAAGACACCAATCAGGAGGGACCCAGAGGTGCTGAAGGGCTCAGGCTCAGAGCTTGAACATTTGAGGGGGGCGAGGAGAAATTTCTGGGGAATAGGAAAGTGTGTCTTCCCCACTCTTGCCTCTGTGTGTGTGCATGTACCATGCTGAGCATGTTTGCTTGGGAGTAGAGTCTGTTATCAGATTCAGTAGTATGCACTTAGGTAACCATGTTTAGAATCATGCTTTGGGTTCAGATGAATGCAGCTGGCTTCCAAGTAGACATGGTTAGAACAAGCTTGGTAGATCAGGGGAAAGCTGTGGTCATGCGTATCTTGACTTTTGACAAAGCCTCCCATGGTATTCTTGTGAGGAAGCTGGTAAAATGTGGGTTGAACAAGGTAACTGTTAGGGGAATTTGTAGCTGGTTGACTTATTGAACCCAAAGAGTACTCACTAATGGTTCCTTGTCATCCTGGAAAAAAGAGATAAGTGGGGTGCCGCAGGGTTCTGTCCTGGGCCTGTTGTTCAACGTCTTTATAATGGACTTGGACGAAGGAATTGAGGGGATGCTCATCAAATTTGCAGACGACACCAAACTAGGAGGGGTAGTTCATGCCGCAGAAGACAGTATCAGAATTCAAAATGACATCAACAGACTGGAGAACTGGGCCCAAGCTAACAAAATGAATTTCAGTAGGGACAAATGTAAGGTTGTGCACTTTGGCAAGAAGAACCAGATACACAAATATAAGATAGGGGACACCTGGCTTACTAGCAGTACCTGTGAAAAGGATCTAGGGGTCTTAGTGGACCGTAAGCTTGTCATGAGTCAACAGTGTGATGCAACAGCAAAAAAAGGCTAATGCTTTCTATGCTGCATCCACAGAAGTATAGTGTCCAGAATCCAGATCAAGGAAAGTTAACAGTACCACTCTGTTCTGCCTTGGTCAGACCAAATCTGGAATGCTGTGTCCAGTTCTGGGCACCACAATTTAAGAAGGATGTTGACAAGCTGGAATGTGTGCAAAGGAGGGCAACCAAGATAATCAAGGGTCTGAAAACCAAGGCTTATGAGGAACAGTTGAAGGAGCTGGGTATGTTTAGCCTGGAAAAGAGGAGACTGAGAGATATAATAAAGGTAAAGGTAAAGGTAAAGGGACTCCTGACCATTAGGTCCAGTCATGGACGACTCTGGGGTTGCAGTGCTCATCTCGCTTTATTGGCCGAGGGAGCCGGCGTACAGCTTCCGGGTCATGTGGCCAGCATGACTAAGCCGCTTCTGGCGAACCAGAGCAGCACACGGAAACGCCGTTTACCTTCCCGCTGGAAGGTTTACCTATTTATCTACTGGCACTTTGATGTGCTTTTGAACTGCTAGGTGGGCAGGAGCAGGGACCGAGCAACGGGCACTCACCCCGTCGCGGGGATTTGAACCGCCGACCTTCTGATTGACAAGTCCTAGGCTCTGTGGTTTAACCCACAGTGCCACCCGCGTCCCAAGAGATATAATAACCATATTCAAAAATATCTTAAGGGCAGTCACATGGAAGATGGAGGAAGCTTGTTTTCTCCTGCTCAAGAGGGTAAGACACAAACCAATGGCTTCAAGTTACAAGAAAGAAGATTCTGACATTAGGAAGAACTTTCTGACTGTAAGAGCTCTTTGACAGTGGAAGAGACTCGCTTGAGAGGTGGTGGACTCTCCCTTCCTTGGAGGTTTTCATGCACAGGTTTGATGACCATCTGTCATGGATGCTTTAGTTGAGATTCCTGCATTGCAAGTGGTTGGACTAGATGACCCTTGGCATCCCTTCCAGCTCTGATATTATTATTCTAAGGCTTTTCATATGTGCAAGTGATACGCATTGCAATTCAGTTCCTGCCTCCTCTCTCTTCTCTTTGAAAACTGCAGCATGATCAGGCCGTATTTGGAGGTTAATCCTTTGCCTCTTCCGTTTTGCTGCTTTGTATCGGAGGGCCTCATTTTCAATCCTGTTCCTACTAAGGCCCAGCCAGAAGGAAAGCTGGCAGCTCATATAAATAGCTTATTATTCCAATTTCACCCCAGGAGCTATGGCTCAACAGAATAACTGTGAAGCTTGAGGGGAAGGGGGGATATGGAAACCTTCCTGCTTTTCTTACATTTTGTTATTGCCATTCCAACTCTCTGCTGGTTGATGGAAACAGAAGCTACAGACGGAAAAGGTCTAATCACTCATCAGGCTGACCTTTCCGCCAGCCATCTCCCCGCTCAGATTCGTTCTGAAGGCCGCATTGAACGCTTGGCTCACAGGCTAGAAAGAGGCTGGCAAGATTTTTATGACAGATGAAAGTTGCTTGAGACTTTGGTTCCTGAAGTCGCACACGTCTAGTTCTTTTGTCCCACTGCTGACGTCGTTCAAATAGGTTGTCCGGGTTTTGGAAACAACGCAAAAGCTTTCCAAATCTGCTGTGGCAAAAGTAGGATGAAAAGTAATCCCTTTTCCAAATCGCCTTCAGTTTGCTGAAAACGCCATCATCTGTCCTCTGCCTACATTTTAATGTCTCCAGCCTGTTCCTGTGCACACAATATTGCTTACTCCACATCCCGGTGTGTTCCCAGTGCTAGTTTTTGGAGTTGCATTCACATGATGTTAGCCACAATCCATGTCAAACCTCTTCTTCCTGTTGTTGTTGACATCTGTCTTCAGAGACAATGGAGTGCACCTCCACAGGTGAAGTCAAACTGCTGCATTAGTAGCACTGAAGTGACCCCCCCTGAGGCACAAACCTGGACAGTGTATATGGAGGCCCTGAGCTGCCTAGATGACAAGAACCACCCACCCCCCTTGGCCTCACTGATGTGGTCCACATTTGGCACCAGCTTGGCTTGTAGGAGTTGCTGGAAGGAGGTGTACAAGGCACCATCCAACCATCTTAGGGACTCCACTCTGGATTTGTGTAGGGTTTGCTCCTTAGCCTTTTCTTCTGCCAAAGATACCCTGCAAGGCAGTGGAGGTTTCAGATTAAAGTTTTCCTTCTCCTAAATGGGCTACCTTCCCAAGTTGACAAGCCCCATCTCCCCCTGTAGTTTCTTGACAAATACGGCTGTTTGGTGCATCCCCCCCCCCCTCAAACAAGCATCAGTCTGTCTTGAAAAGTTAAGCCTCATTTGCTTTGTATTTAAGCCAGGTGTGCACATTTAAGACAGCCGTTGCAAATGTGGAGATAAACACAAATGCGCAAGTGACAACTTTGTGAATAGGAGTTTGGTGGGAGGTGTTCAGGAGCAGGGAAACCAAATAAGTCAGAGCTTC